ATATTTGGGAAGCTTGATAAAATGCTGCTTGGTGTAACTTCAGCAGAGCTAGATATTTTATTTACCTTGGTTATGAGTCACTTTATCTATAATTCACCAGTGCTTTGAAGTTTGCTGTGGCTGTACGTTGTCAGAGCACATCACTTGAAGTAGATTCATTCCTACTAATTTGTCTGGTTTTTTCTAGCACATCTCTTTTAGATAAAAGCTAGCTGGTGTTTCTTCAGTGGAGTTTAAAAATAAAAAGCAAAAACCCAAACCCCGTACTTACGTGAGCAGTATAGCAATGCAGAATTTCTGGATCTAGTGGTGTGATGTGCAGAAAGCAAGCAAAACCTGTCTGTAAAAGGTAAAACAATCAGTCTATTACTTTCTTCCTTGATATCTTCCTAATATGTGGAAGAGAGAGCTTCTCTTTAAGTTGTTTAGCAGATCACTCCCTCGGCTGTTCAGTTGAGTGTCGTTTCATTCTGTTAATGAAATATTTGCCCATAGTTTTCCTAACAGGGCACCGTTGCTTTTACTGACATTTAAAACTCAGTCTTTGACATGCAGTTCTGGAGGTCTGTTACATTACTGTGTTGAAAAGTTTTTCTTCTGAATTGTTCTGTAATTTAGCTCAGGCCCCTTTAGTGCTCTTTGGGGCTGGGTAGCAGAAATGAGGCAAGGCAGAGGGCGAGACTTCTTGAGTTCATGAGCACTGTACCCAGCAAGAGCTTTTCTGAGGCTGCTCCCAGATCCGGTGTGCTGTGCAGTCCTTGTCATGTTGCTTTGGGACAACGCCTGGAAGGACCGCAGGAATTCAGAAAGGAGAACACATGGAAAAATTGCTCAATAGAAGCTATTAACTGGTGTACGAGCAGCCCAGATGAAATTTAAGATTAATCTAAATGTCAGAAATGTATTTCCTTCCATCTTTCAGAAGGATGTTGAACAGACATTAAGCTTTGGCTGAAAAAAAATCGCCGAGGGAATATAGATAACTTTTGCTGATGTACCTCACTTTCTGTGGCTTGGCAGAAGAGCTGATCTGTGATGAGGTTGGTTTTAGTTGTCTTTATTTCTTCTCCTTTACATAAGGTACTTAGGCACAGGGATGGAAGGCAGGCTGTTCTGAGAAATTCATGCTCTTCCAGATTAAATACATCAGCAAAAGGGTCAGCCCATGTACCTGGCATATTGTAACTGACCAAGATTCCTGTCTTACGTTGAATGATGTAAGTAGCTCTGATAGCTGTTTCCTGAGCAAAAGAAGTCAGAGGGAAGCATGTGGACAAATGAAAGCTGCCAAGAAAAGATTATTGAATGGTATTGAGCTGAACAATTGTTTCACTTAGTGCCTCTCTCTATTCAGGCCTCTGGCGCTGCAGAACCATAGGTCACGTGCTGGGAAGCCTTGCTGTTTGTCCTGGCTTGTCAAAACAATTTAATGTAGGTGGAAAGGAATGACTGAAATGAACGAAGTGGGCTCGATGCATCTGTTTCAATTTGTTGGAAGGGCAGCCCAGTGATTGGGATGTGACACTTCAGTCCTTCAGGGAAGCTACTGGTTCAGGGAGAACAATGCCATCCAAATTATGAGATAGTTAAGTCCATTTTAGGAAGCAAGTTCTCTTCGAGTTTGACAGCTTGTGTATTTTTAAATATTTAGGCTATATCAGCTCAGCACTTGCTCTAACTGAGATGCAAGAATGTGATTTGCAAACAGCAAGACTTAAGAGTTTGTCCTGTCTGCTTGGTGTTGCTTCATTATATGGTCAAAATGAATGCTTAGGGGGGGAAGGAGGGTGTCCAATCTTTTTAAAAAATTATTATTTTTAGTTGAAATTCCAAAACAAATTGGTCTTTGAAGGATTAGGATATCAAGTCATATTCTTGAAGTTCTTAAAGTGATTTCTTCTTCATAAGATTTCTCAGATTTTTGAAAAAAAAAAAAATTACGCACCTTTATATCTTGCTTTGTTTCTCATTGTTTGATTTAAAAAATAAAAATAAAAGAGAGAACACTGCATTTGTTTACCCAGTCTTGAGCTTTGTGATACTGGAATGTCAAGCTGTGAGGTCTGCTGGCTGGATACAGCAAATACACACTGATGTCTTCCATCTCTATACCTACTTAAACCCTGAGCTTTGGGGGTGGAAGGCCGAAGGAGATACAGATCTTATTTGATTCACCTTAGATATAATTGAATCAGAGGTAATTGCTTACTTTGAGTGATAAACTATGATACTTCTTGCTGTTTCTTTAAGATGGGGATGGAACTGGAGCAAGGGTGGCTCTTACATTCCTTGCATTTAGCCTGTAGGCTGTTTGCAGGTTGTGTTGCTGGAAGGTAGCTTATACAAGTGTAATCTCCAATTATTGTACATACAGATGAACTTTGTTGGTGTAGTTGCACGTGAGGTCTAACTGTTGAGTACTAGTTTTCTTTTTCAAGTACATACAGCATTTTATACTACCTAGCACTAGTGTTCCTTTAAGGAAAGATATATAAATACCTGTTAGAAATCAGGGTAGTTAAAGACCATACGCATTGCTGGTCTTATGAAACAAGTGGCTTCTGTCCTTTTCTTACAGCTCTATTCAAAATTAGCTTCGGCTGCTGCAGCGCGCTGCTCCAAGGTGCGATGCTTCCTTGTTGCAGGAATATTGCTGTTTTCTCTGGGTGCAATTTGTGTTCGTTGGCCTGTATTTGTGTCCAGACTTGTCTGAGATCATTAGGGCACTGTGGCTTCCAGAGAAGTGTTGTGTTAATATATTGTCGTTGTCTGGATTTTTTTTTCTTCTGTTAACGCCGGCAATGAAGTGTTGAGTGTCTGTTTTAAACGTCACAGATACGTCTGCAGGAACATGATGCTACCATTGATGTGACCAGAAAGAGTAATGACTCAAAATAGGCATGCCCATTAGAAGTCTGCTCCTTGATAAGAACGATTAGCACTTGTTAGTTTCTATTCCGCACCAGAAGTACAGCAACAGGGGAAGCCCAGTGAGGCCTTTCAAAGTGAGACCAGGCATACTCAGGCTTAGATGAAAACTTAAGGTCAAGCGTAGTCTAAAATTGGTTAGTAAACTTAATCTGAGTGTATAACTATAATTTAGTTTTTGGACAAAAATAAATGCAGGTGTTTGTATTACATCGCTAAATATAAGCGATGTAACGAGTAATTGTTTTATAATTACCATAAATAGTATTTGGATGTAGAGCTAACCAGATGAATTATATGGATAAAGAGCGGAGGCTGGGAATAATCTGCTTCGTTATCTTTGTGAGAATGATTATTGTGATTGTGTGTTCTGTTCAAGGTATTGAGATTCTTCAACAGTGTGCGTATGATCTTTTGATCGATGTGCTGATAGCAGCTCACTGCTTTTACAAGCAGTAGTGGTGCAGGACAGTCAGGATTACGTTGGTCTTGGACAGAACTTGTGCTGCTCTATCTTATAAAGAAAGGAAAGCTATTAGCTGTGTAAGAGCTCAAAAGGGGATGTTACTTCCATATTAAAGAAACCCAATAAAAACCAAAACAACCCACCAGAAAACACCACCAAACCTCAGCAGACATGAATATTGACACGTTTTCATTGTGTTTCTGCAAGCACATTCTATCAGAACTTATGTTTGTGCAAGTATGCTTTCTGAAGGAGTGAGGGGAAGTGATTGCACTAATTTCTGCAGGGGGAAATAGTTGTGAGATTGAATGCTTTTGATATCTATTGATTAATGTGTGGCACTTAAGAATTTGGTGTCTTCCTAAACAACCATAAATATATGGTAAGTGATAGACACTTAACAGCACTGACGTCTGAAATAATTTCAGACCTATTCTTCTGTTTGATCTGTAAGACTCCTACACTTCTGAAAATTGGGGCTTCATCTGGAAATGAAGTAGTCCATGTCTCCTAGGAAAAGTTGATAATTTATGTGAATAGAGGATGGTTTAGATATCAACATGGCTGAATAGTATTGAGAAAACACATTGTCTGTTAACAAAGGAAGAGGAATTACAGACTAGTGGACAATTGTGAACAGTTTGAGTAGACCCCACATACTTATTCTACTGCCTTCTAATTGAAAAGTAAATGTGGCCTTAAAATTATTGCTAAGATTTGACAGAGGGCACTGGTTATTTGTAATCAGCTGGTAGAAACACTGATTGTAAAAATCTGGGCTTTGAATGTATCTTGAATTGTTTTTAATACTATCTGCATATGGATCTGATTTACATCAGTTATCAGCCAAACTAGTGTATCTATGCACTGGTATACTGACAGCTGAAAGATGCAGGGAGACTTTTCATATTCGCAATTTATTCCTGGTCAGCTGGTCATAATCTTGAAGATATCAGATAGTTGATTGTTGGTAGATAGTACAGCAATATTGTCCAGGAAAGCTTTTTCATGACTTGTCTCTGGCCAAAAGCTCGCTGTCTTTCTGGTGTGAATTATGTCTTTGTTTTCCTTGATGCTAGATTACAGGAAGCTTGCTCAATCATGAGGTCATGCTTTTAATAAAAAAGAAAAATCCAACCCAAATTTATTTGTTTTCCATTAGAAATGCATCCTATATGTTAAGTTTTCTGCTCTATCATCTATATGGAGAATTAATCCAGTCTGTTACTAATTGTGTGGATTCTATGTTTGAAGGAGTAACTGAAGATTACAGGTGTTTATAATCTGAGATATGCGCTTTAAATGATCCTTTTTTGCCTGACCTTGAATGCATGAGTATTTTAGGACGTTGTCCCCTTTCCACCTCAAGTCAAGCAATCCCTTTGGAGTAGGGATGAAAGAAATAATACTAGGAGATAATCCCCAATCATACTGTAAGGAAAGCTATGATAGAATATCTTCTAAATAGAGAAGTTACTGCATGAGTAACTGTCAGCAAAATGGCTTTTAAAAGATGCTGGTTCTTGTTGAATGACTGTGCACAACTGTTTTTCAATTTGCTGTTTCTCTATGAAATAAAACAAAGCTTTATTTTCTTTTTCGTTAGGATCGGAAACTATCCAAGTCAGAGCGACAAAGATTCAAAGAGGAAGCTGGAATGCTGAAAGGGCTTCAGCATCCCAATATTGTCAGGTTCTACGATTCCTGGGAGTCCACAGTCAAAGGAAAAAAATGTATTGTCCTTGTGACAGAACTCATGACATCTGGAACATTAAAAACGTAAGTAAATTCTAGCATGTCAAAGCACTTAATGAACATTATCACAGTTAGAGCACTTGATGTAGGTGATAATTCAAAGTAGCTAAGGACAGAGACCTTTTACTGAGGGCTAAACTCCTGCAAGGGAGGAGTTAAGAAGTTTAAGGAGGTTAAGAAGAGTTTTGTTAGCACTGCAGGGTACAATGGACCATTCTTTATGTTAGCGAACTTGTCAGATTCTTGTGATTGTCCTAGTAAGCACATGCAGGAAAACTCTCTGATTTTTGTGAGCTCAGTAAGTATGCTGCTTTTCTGTACCTTTTGTTTTCCTCCTGAGCTTCCTTCAATTTGGCCATGAGGTGTTTTGTAGAGTTCAAAGCACTAATTGATTCACCTTGTTTGGGAGGCCTTGGGTGTTACTACAGTACCAATAATCAGTAAAAAGAAGGAAAACAAAAACCACCTGAAAATACATCTTTTTAGTTAAAACTTCATGAGGTTGTACTTTAGAAAAGCTTGGAAGCGTTTACAGTTTTGACCTGTGAAGTAATTGAGTGAAGCTAGATCTATTTTTAAGCCAGTTGGAAACTAGTGATTCAAACTGCTGTGAGGGCCCTCTAGTGGTATGTAAAGCTGAGGGAGTTGAACTGAAATCGTGCTTTTGTCTTACGCTGTAAATCTTGCAGAGATGTGAATTTCTTCAGGAGCATCCAGTTGCTATTAAGCACTACTGGAAATAAAGCTGCTGTGATTTAAAAATTCATGGATTGTGAGTTGTTGTCTTAATTTGGTGTCCATTTAAATCTTGGACTAGCATTTAAATCCTAAATGTGTGAATAGAGTGTAGGAACTTTGGTTAAAATAGGCTGTGAACTTCTTGTGGCTTTTTTTCTCTTGCAACATTTGTTGATTGCCACAAATGGACATGCTTAAAGCAGGAAAAATGTGCTCTGGGGAGTCTGAACTGTAATTATAGGGATGTGTTTCTTTCTTGAAATAGGGCTGGAGGACTAAAGAAGTCGTAACTTTATCTATGTGTCCATGAAGAGCTTTTCTGAGGTTGTTTAAGGTATATCAGATAAAGCAATAGATCAGTTACTTCATGTCCTGTACTTAGAACAGTATGAAGGTTTTACAGCTTTGTACAGATGCATCTATTTGCAGGTATCTATTTTCATAGTAGTGTATATAGGGTTGGATATAACTCTTCCTCTCTTTCTCACTCTGTTCATTCCCTCACAGATTTAATGTTTGGATTGCTTTGTTATGCAGTGGCATAAGCAAGATAAAGTAAAAGCAGATGACTATAAGACAATGTTTTGATAGGAAGAAATACGTAAGATTTACTAGCCATAAGATTGTCTTGTACTCTGAAGTATGAAGGTCTTTTTTTATCTAGGGAAAAAAAACTTAATATTCTTTTTAATTGGCTATCTTTAAATAACACACTTTACTTTTTTCACTATTTCTTACTTTGTGTTTGTAATTTAGTTCATTTTTCTGCCTTTCACCGCATATGTGACAAGTAAACTACATGAGAAATTTCTGAAATACCAAATTTAATATCAATATGTATTTCATTTATATTCTATTCCCATATTGCTCACTTATTTTTAGCATATGGAGTTTGAGTGTATATTGCTTCCATACTTATCCAGTGTGTTTATACTACCTGCTTTTAAAACAAGTGGTATCTTCCTCATTCTGAGACACAGCCATTGTTGCCACTTGATGTTAAAAACAAGCAAAACGTGAGATGTGTAATGTCATCCCAAGGCATCTTTTCATGATGTTTTATTGTATTTGTGTATGCAGTATTGTGAACTCATCCTTTTAAAATGCTGCCTGGGAAGACTTTTCATTTTGTACAAAGAAAAGTCCCTGAACTTCTACGTACCAATTTAGAAGTTTTACAACTCAATTACTACACGAATTTGCTTTCTAACATTATATATTAACAGAATTGAAGTATTGGAAAAAATTGAATCATCTGTTTTAAGTCTTAATTACGCTGTTAATGAAGATGGCAGTTTAATTTTTCTGACTTAAGTCTCAGCCTCTAGTTCAGTCTTCAAAGGCCATTGTACTATGTATTCCTGATCTACTTCAAATGAAAGTATTAATGATTCTGGTAGGACATGTGCCTTCATAACCGTTTCTGCCTAAGTAGGATTTCTTCTAGCTCCTTGAGATGAGATGCTGTGATTGTGAGCCTTCCTGGTTTAAAAAAAATCCAAACAAACATAAAATTGCGAGACAAAAAGTCAAAGTCTAGTTCCTACTTTCCTCTGTTTGTTGAAGATAACTATTAGGAAAGCTTTGTTTTCTCATCTTTGCTTGCGTTCTGTGCTAAGATCAAGTAACTATCTTTAATTGACAACTGCCCTGTTAAATAGAGAAGAATGATGTTGTTCAGCTAGGAGCAAGTTCAGTGGCGGTCATCAAGATGTTAGGGATTGGAGCACCTGCTGTGTGATCATGAGCTGGAAAAACTGAACTAAAGGAAAACCTTTAGGAGTGACTTGACAGCAGTCTTACAGTGCCATGAAGAAGTCATAGGCTCTTTCTATTGCTGCTTGGGTGGTAGGAGGATTAGAGGTAACAGGCATAAACTGAAACTAGGGAGCTTCATACTGGGTGTAATAAGAAGCTTCTTGACGGTGCGGACAGTCAGGCAGTGGAACAAATTGCCCCAAGAGGTTGTGCTGCCTCCTTCCTTGGAGATGCTCAAGATCTGACAGGACATAGCCCAAATGAACCTGCTCTGACTTCCTGGCTGACCCTATGTGGAAAGGAAGCTTAGCCTAGAGACTTGAGGTCTTCTCAAACCTGAGTTGTTACCATTTGTATAATACTTGGAAAAATAAAGCCTAATAGGCTAATAGGGCTGTCCATGTATTTAAGTATTTATCTTTTTCCATTTTAAGACACTTTCTACCTTAAGTGACATGTGACTTTGTTTATGATGGTGTTATGGAAAAATTACAGCAACACTGCAGGAAGCTGGGTGATGGTTGGACCCAGATCCTTTAACAGTGAGAAGCTGGCAGTAGACTAGCATATTTGAAACCAAGAATGTAATTAGGGATTCCAGATGCTGAACTGAAGTGCCCCTACCATGTGATCTTTGGAACAGACTCAAGAGTGATGAATGAGGATTGTGTCAATAGCAAGAATTCAAGTGGTAGCTGATGTGATCCAGAACTTCCTTCAGCTTGTCTCCTTCCTTGGGTTGGCTTTTTCCCTGTCCGTCTTTATGTTCTGTTTCAAGACTCCTTCTTGAACTAGGTCCTGATTGCTTTTACAGTTTTGTTTTCATAGCAGAATTATTGCTAGTAATTTGTTTTCCAGATCTTCCTCTGAAGTGGAGAAATTAAAGTAACAGGAGTTTAATTATGGAGTTTTTATGCTGGTGTTGATGCAAGTAATTTTATGGGTATGCAGAAAACTGAACACTTCCACTGAATTATTGAACCTGACTCAATTTTAAGTATGTAGCTGCTGAACTTCATCCTGGTCACAGAATTTACCACCAGTCTTGTGGCAGTATAAAACTTGTCCAACTTCAACTGAGTAACCTCGGCCACATAAGAATAAAATTATTGCTGTACACAGTGTACCATTTCAGCAGTCCTTCTCTAAATACATTTCAGCCCTTACTTTTTAAAAAGGAAGAAAAGAACTTTCTTTGAACTAATGCTTCTACCTGAAGAGAGTGTGTGAGAATACACAGCTGGCAAACAGTTGAATAGATCATTCACCTTGTGACATCTTTAATCTATCAAAGTTTAGTAGAACAAGATCACACTCTTGTGTCACAAAGACTAGAAAATAATTATTTGTGTGAATTTTCTCTTTTGACATTTAGAAAGCAGCAATATTAGAACAGTTAAGACTGGGTCATGTTTTGCCTGCAAAGGGATGCTGATGTTGTGCGTGTACTTTCCACATCAATCTGTTAGCATAATCATTTTAAAGATCTTCTTTTCCTCCCCGTAGTTTTGAAGTGGTGAGTATTAACTGATCAGATTCAGACAGTCACATCCTATGTGGGACAGCACCAGGGAAGTGATCTCTAAGAGTTTTTATTTGCTTGATAGCAAGTAAATTTGATATAGGTTCAAAGTGTAATCTGGAATCCTTAATCAAAGTGGTTGGAATAACATTGATAACTAAGGTAGAGTGACTTCGTAACTCTTGCGTGGTCTGCAGCAGCTCTGTACTTGGCTGTTCTTTATTAGTATCTCTGGCTTTACTACCCTCTTCCCAATAGTTCACCAGGGAAAAGGTTTTAACTGTTTAAGCAATGATAGGACAAACTGCAGGGGGGAGGTAATCCTCTTAAATAACTAGATAAGGAGTTGTAATGCATAAGTTTTTTAACTGTTTGTTGGGGAAGCAGTGCCTTGAAACTTAGCAAGCTGAGTGCTTAATTATCTTACGGTTGACTTGGTATGCAAACTATTTATTTTTAAAATATTTTGACAATTCAATAATAGTTTTAATGATTTATTTTTTAACTTTTAGCACTATAGTCTTGTGGTTAGAAGGAAGTAGGCAGAAATTTTCTATAGGGCAGTTTTTCTTTCTGGGAGGGGGATCCATCTTCAGCTCTTTGATTTTTGAACAGCACAGATATTTTTTTAAAATAGATGAAATTAAAATTCCTCAGTCTCTTTAGCTACTGCTTTCTCACTTTCGAACAGCAAATGGTACAGCATAGTCTGCTACTTGGTAGCAGAACTTAATTTTGAAATACAAATGGCTGACACTGGAGCCTATTTAACGTACTGTTATTTTTCACCAGGTATCTGAAAAGATTTAAAGTGATGAAAATCAAAGTACTACGGAGCTGGTGTCGTCAGATACTGAAAGGCTTACAATTTCTACACACACGCACTCCTCCCATTATTCACAGAGACTTAAAATGTGACAACATCTTCATTACTGGCCCCACTGGTTCAGTCAAGATTGGAGACCTCGGACTGGCGACCCTGAAGCGAGCTTCTTTTGCCAAAAGTGTGATAGGTAAGTCTCTACTGTTTAGAAGGCTGATGAGCCGGTCTATGTACTTGGGAATTTGAACCTTAAGAGCTTTCCTTTAAAATATGGTTTCAAAGGTACACGATCTAAGCCTGAAAATCTGTAGACTTGATTTCTTGGCTTTTGAGGTCAGGTGAAGTTCCTGATGAGATGACATGATGAAATCCTGCGTATGTGTTTTGTATTTGTATGGTAACTTAAAATATTTCAGAATATAGATTTATTGCCTTGCCCAACAGTTTTGTGCAACATTGTTGATAAAACCATTCTTAACTGCACGTGAAAGGTGAGAATTATACGTCTCTTCAAGAAACATGCAAATAGGTCTTGCTGACTATCAAACATCTTGATGTTTAGTTAAGCATTAATTTATACAGCCAATTTTTTCAATTGTCACCAGATGTTCATATTAAATCTCTTACACTTGGCAAATAAACAAAAACTAAGATATATCAAAGAAAGTCCAAATATATCGCAGTTGGACTGGGGTATAATGTTTTAACCAGAAAGTCTCTGGACTGCAGTTTTACATTAAGTTGGGAGGATGCATTGGGGAAGTATTGTCTTATACTTGCTCTATTCTTCTGTATCCACTAATGACCATTTTCAGGAAATAAGCTATTGGATTGATAGATCTAGTACAGTTTTTCTTGTAAATTCTTTAAAGAAATGGTTTTATCAGCTTTGTTCTTATAGTTGGGCAAATAGGCTTCAAGAAATGAAATTGCTTTTATTTCCAGTGTCTAAGCTTGCTAAAATGTAATATTGCTCAACAGTCCTATATCAGATACCCAAATGGGATCAAAAATGTATACCCGTAAACTCTCTTGAAAGTGATTGCTGAAATATTTCCTGCTTCTTAACCAGATCAAAATAATAGGGATAAAAAGCACACATTGTCAAAAAAAAAAAAATAAAAAAATTCTTAAATGTGCTCCCCTTTTCTTCAAGTATATTATTACAAAATTATCACTTTGTATGTTCGTAGTTTGCCTTTGGATAAATGGCTACCATGACATTCTCTTTTCACTTTGTGTTGTGAAGACAAAAGGGACTGTTCATTGATCTATAAAACTATCTTGAATCTGGTATCTGCAGGAAATAATTCTGTGCTTAAAGTTACAGAATCAAACTTGTGTCTTTGATCATACAGTGCAGTCCCTTTGATTACAGAGGGGATGCTGTGATGCTTCTCTGAGCAAAAATTTTCTGCAAACTAATTAAATGGGACTTGTTGAATCTCACGCTCTATGCTTGTAACTCAATCTCTCTGTATTTCTAAGTATTTTTTGACTGTAGGATGTTCCTCACTAATGCCTGTATCTGCAGTAGGCCTATAAATATACTGCAGGTGAGAAGGTAAGTATATGAAGAAGAGGGCTCTGGTGAGTGGCCTTTGCAGAAAATTACTTTTCATTTTCAATCATGAAGACTTATATTTTTTTTAACAAAAGAGTTTTTCATTGCAAGGCCTTTCCTGAACCATTCTACTTCAAAAAGTAGATGGAGAGCACTAGGACAGAGACTAGCTGTGGGCTCTTACCAATACTACTTCTTTTGCAGCAGAGGGCGGTCAGGTAATTCTTGAAACCAGGTTTAACATGCCTCCTTTCTTACAGGGAGAAAAGGTAAGTGTCTTAACTCTCCTTAGTATTTGGTTTGCAGCCTATGGCTAGTCTGACTGTTTTCCCTTCTTCTTATCCCCTTTCCTCCATTTGATGCCTGATTCAGTCTGGTGCTCGCACTGACATGCATAAAGTGAGAACTACATCAGCCCGTTCATGCCATTCTTATTCCATAAAGACCTTGCAATGGAAGACTCGCAAAGTGGTTTGATAAAACAGAGTGACTAAGGGTTTCCTCCCTCTTCTTTTTGCCTCCACTTTCTTTTGTCTCACAGGTCTGCCCATCCGCTTCCTCCTGCGGTGAGTAACGCCAGCAGCCTCTGCTCGCTTTGAGACATTTAGAGTCTGAATCGTTCTTTTAATTTAAGGTACCCCAGAGTTCATGGCCCCCGAGATGTATGAGGAGAAATATGATGAATCCGTTGATGTATATGCTTTTGGGATGTGTATGCTAGAGATGGCAACGTCTGAGTATCCTTATTCTGAGTGCCAAAATGCCGCGCAGATCTACCGTCGAGTGACCAGTGTAAGTTCCTCCCCACTACTGGTTCTAAGGCTGTCAGCCTAGCAAAAGAGTAACGCTGGACGGCATGGCATTGCACAAGTGTTTGCAGGGGGGGGAAGATAGCAGGAGTGTTTAGGGGTATGGATGGAAGGGAATAAAACAATTCAACTTACCCCCAAATGGTTGTAAAATATGTGAATGGAAATAAAATGTTGCATGTGCTGATACCTGTTCAGTATACAAGAAGATATTGCATAGGATTTAAAACAGAGAAACTTGACGAGAAGGAATAGAAAGAATAGTGAGGTTGGCTATTTGGGAGAGTGAAAACTTACTCTGAGAAAATCAGTGCATCTGTTCACATGTGCAAAGGGAGAAAAAGACTTTCAGCTGTCTACAGATTGGAGAAAGTATTATTCCAGTTAATCTTTTGGCGTGTATTATTTTTGAGGCTTTGAGGATTTAATAAAAAGCGATTTGCTTAGGTCTGGAAAAATAAATGCTTATTCCTGATGCCTCATGCTGTAAGAGACAGATACAATTGCTGACTGCAAACAGAGAAGAAAGAGTCTTTATGTTAGAAGTGACGAGTTGCTAAGGAAGGCTTGGTAAAATAGAAGATGACTGCGTTTTTGAAGGAGAATGTGAGGGAGGCACAGGAGGAGGAGGAAGAAGAGGAAAAATAGCCTTTTTTTTTTATCAACAACTAGAGTAAGTTTTTAATATACTTTTTTTTTTTTTTTGACATGTTGGTTAACCTAACTGTAATCCTTTTAAGTCAAAAGGAACAAGAGTAAAATCTAGCTGATTAACTGCACATTCTGATCTGATGGCTATCTGGATCAGAGAGAGAAAACAAAGTAGCTTATCAAAACAATTTTAGTGGTATTCTTTGCAAAGCTGCCTAGAGCCAAAGAAACATAATTTCAGTATGTATGGTTATTTTATATGAGAACAGACACCTGATGCAACTACCCTGCCTTTTGCTTAAAATGTGCTAGGAACTGGGCCGTGGTGATGAAAGTCATCTTCTGAAATAGATGGTCTCAGGCTTGGAAATCTCCAGGAACATCCTTTTCCTGATCTGCAAAATGCTTAGCAATTTGAAACTTAATTATAGACTTACTGGGGTTCTACTTACCACATGTTTGTTGTACCTCTGACAAACTTGAATACTTCTTTCTCCCCACTGTTTTTGGTTGACTGTTGAACTTCTGAGTGGATGAGGAACATGGAATGGTAACAGTTTGCTCAGTCCAACACATTTTTCACTGTACTTTGCTGCTGATGTTTCACAAATTGAATTTCATTGTTCAATTTTTTCTGCTGTTTCATCTACCATTTGACATCTCTAAAACACATTTTGATATGAAAATAAAAGATTTCCTTGACTGCAGAATGAGCAGAGCAGGAAAGTAAACAAAATGGAATGTATGTGTCTCTGCTTCTAGGCAGAGAATGAAAGGCTATCTTGATATATCTGGGCTTTTTTTATTGTATGACAGCCACAAAACAGTGTGTTTAAAAACAAACAAACCCACAAAACTGAAAACAGACACTTGAATAGTTTTCAAGGAAGACTTTCAGTGAAAATACAAGATTACGTAGAATAAAGCATAAACCTTTTTTAACTGACAATGGAGAATTCACTGTTTGTTTCTGTAATGTGAGCAGCACAATGATGTTATGGAATAAAATGCACTTTATATTCTTTTTACCAACATGGAAAGAGCCCTACAGTTTTCTGCTCTTGTCCTCTTAAGATTTTTACTTTCATTTTGAAGGATATTTTAGGAATTTTTTCAGTATCTACATTTACAGACAAGGGGTTGGACCGGTTGAGAAATTTGGTACTTAGAAGGCCAACATGTGAACTGTCAACTATAGAATGGAGTTGGAAGACTTCGTGTATGAGTGAATCCAGCAGTACTTACCAACACATTTCCTTTTAACTTGGATTAGAAGGTGATTGTGGTTTGTGGTAGATGTTTAGAGTTTCCAATTCAACCCTCCCAGATTGCTACTTTCCTAGGAATATTTAGGAACATTCTGAGGTAGGAGCTGTGGTCTTGCCATGCCTTAAACTGCAGGATGATTTTATCTAGCTGCGTGCACAAAGACCAGAAATAAAGACAGTAGTGGCAGTCCATCATTGAAAGATCATGGATGTGAAAGCATAAAAATCACTGAAACTTCTAAAAGCAACAACATAAATGCAGTCACTCAGCGCAGCAGATATGTATTTAAATGAATTGATTTCTCTCAACCCCCTTCTAGCTACTGGTGTGCTTAGTAAGAAGCACAGCTAGTCTATTAGCTTAAATCCTAGCTACTGTGTAGGACAGAAACCTGAAGATGTCTTAATGTCTAAGGTGCTGTGTCCTGTCAGGACTGACTTGCATTTTTCTTTCCTGTCTTGTCTATATGTTGTTTTTTCTTCTAGCGTGGTTTGACTTTGCCTTGCGTTCTGATCTTACTCTTCTGTGATTAGGATTGCTTTAGCTGATGCCCAGACATTGCAGCATTGGCTTAAAGTATTTGCCAGAATTGCTCAGAATACTCGGTTGTGTTCTCCCTCCCTGTTTAAGTGTCTCTTTTTCTTGAAGCAGTTTTCTGGTGAAATAATGTAGTTAGCTAAGCAAAGATGTAGATAGCAAGACTATCTGAAGTTTGCCCTTGTGATGAGAAGTTATTTGGCCAGCCATTTATTATTGTTTCACATCTTTAACAACAGTGCTGCTGGATGAGTCTGGTGTTTCCAGGATGTTTGTCTATCCTGTCTGTATTTTCACTGAGAAATTTCTATCCCAATGCTCTTTTATTAGGAAAAAAATAAAGTTCCCAAATTTTCCCTGGCACAAGAAATAAGTGCAAAGTTTTAAACTGTTTTTCTGTCTCATTTTGATTATAAGAATTCTTTTAGTAAAAAAAATTTGAGGGAAACCTCAGTTTAAAAACTCGACAATTTTTAGGGCTTAACTTTGCTTTACCATTCTGGTAAAGAAGTTGGGAGAAGTTTGACACAACGTATTTACTTTTTCGTATTTACACTTTCCAGCAAACTCCATCCAGACCTTTTTACTAGCAGTTTCTTTAGAAAATATCTGCATGTTGTGTCTCTTATGCGTAGGGAGTCTAGCTGCCCTCCTTATCAAAACATAATGTGGCAACTTGGTCTCCACAAAGAGCATGTTTTCTTCTTTGAAGCTATATAGTGTTCCCTGGAAATCGCTCTAAATAAATGAGTAGCCAGTACTTAAAAATCACAGGAATTGCAATGTCTTTATCTTATTTAGAAAGAAAAAACAAACACAAGAACTTCCCCGTGAGATAGGCTGAAGAAATACAGCTGGGCACGCATTGCTGCTTACTTGGCCTAAGAAAAAAAACACCTAAGCCTTTAATTGAAAATAAATTGAACTGTTAAGGTCGCATTGCTTGCTCCTGTGATGATGATAATTTTATTATTATTCATTATTTATTTCAGTGTGCAAACCTTATAAAGCAGTATGGGTAGTTCAGTACAAAATGTGATCAAGATACTTAATTCTGTTACTTAATTGTTTGCACAAGTGGCATACAATTTTGGTAAAACTCAGACTTTCCTGTCTGTCAGCTGATATTCTTTCCTTGATTTCTGATAAGTTATTGAAATATGCATTAAACAAGATATTTGAAATGAGTTATCTGTGTTTTTAAATGAATACAGGTATTTGTAGAATAAACATCTTAAGTATGATTTCTTAATTTAGACTGTTTGGGAAAGCAGTACAATGAAGCCATGACTGCACTAGCTTCAGCTGCTTTGTCTCAGCCTCTAGTGTGACTGATGTAATCCATGTGATTGCTTCAAAAGCTGGCTTGTCTTTCTTGGCTTTTTTTTTTTTTTTTTGCTACGTTTGCTCTCAGTTCACAGATAGATGTTGATTACTTCAACACTGAATTTCCTTCAGGCTTGCTTTTTGCAACACAGGAATTATTTTCATAAATGCATATTTGCTCAATCTCTAATACTGAGATATTTTAGACACATTTTCTAAGTGAAAGTGACTGACTAGTCTCGACTAGTAGAATAACAATTAATGATTTTTATTATGCAGCTTTATCTCATTCATGCACATATACGCTTATTAAAAAAAAAAGCGAACAAACCAACCACCATTCTCATTCCAAACAAATAAAGACCATCCCCAGTTTTAAATGTACTGAAAATCTGACGTGTATGAACAGACAAGTCGTCTTTACTTTTTAAGTTTTCCTGATAGAGTTTTGTTCTCTATAATTAATTTTCTCCATGTTTACTTGGACAAAGTGAAGTTGTGGACTTACCTTTTCCTTCACCAGAAGTCCAGTCTCTTCTCTAAACAAATGTCTGCTACCTGAGCCTTAGCATGAGAAGAAAAAAAACAAACAAACAACAGCATTTTGCATTTTGACTTGAAAAACAAAACACAATGTTCTGTACTGAAATGTTCCACAGAATGTGCACAGCTTTTCTCATCTCAGTTGTACAGAGCTTAAAAAAACACCTGAGGGAACAAGGTACATAATGAGTAACCAGACCAGGCAGTATCTAACCAGTTTAAAAATCTGTAATTTCCCTAACTTGTGGGAACTAAAGCTCACTGGTTAGAGTGAAGGTCATTCTCTTGGCTGGAAACCAGTCACTCAGTAAGTGCTGCAGTTTGGTCACTTGAGGTTAAATTAGTGGCACTAGTGACTTAAAAGTTAGGCATCATAATCGCCAAACTCAATCAACTCAATTTTCTTCATTTTCACTGGAGATGAAATGGGCTCATCATCCCATCTGTCTTCTCTTTTGTTTCCCTAAAGGGAATAGCAAATATAAATGCTTAGCCCTTAGTCTTGTGATTAATTTTACTTGTCTAGTGAATATTTATGAATATCCTATTTTACTTTCTAGAAGCAATATGCAAATTGTAAAATGTACATAATGCGTTCCTTTGTCTTAAATAACGTGGTTTCTTGGCTTCATTCATATAGATAGACACCCTTTCTAC